TTGTGTAGACAATAAACTTTAACATTTTACACAATTAACCATACATGCCATAATTTTTGGACAGCTTTCCGGGACACTTTTCATCACGGCAATAATGGATGTGTAGGCAGTTGTGGAAAAGGGTGGGGGGTTGTGGGTGTCAATCGTATAACGTTATTAATTAGGACGACTTTCTCCTGAATTTTAATGATAAACAGTTAACTTACTAGTTTTATAAGTAGTCTTTTACGTCGACATAATTATCATTTTATAGTATTTCTTTATTTCATTTATTATTCCCTAAAAGCAAGTAAGTTGTAGGTTATTATTTATTATAAACCCGGTGAATGGGCGCAGCCATGTTGTTCACCCGTTATATCTTAAAGTCGTGATAATTACTACATGTCACGTAATGCAATTCTCCCAGTCATAAAAACAAACACAGCAAGGTGATTTATTTGACACCTTTAATTTTTTATTTCATAGATATATTTACATTGTTTGTAATTATTAGACTTTCGGCAAGTTAGCGATTGATCTAAAAATTAATGATTATCGGGGATTAACGATAATTGTTAAGGGCCGTAAACCATTATTTAACCCGACCATTAAACGCTGCCGAATTCAACAGAGAATGTTAATTGCCGATGCATGAAGAAAGCTATTGCCGAGGGGAATTGACAGTCGATAATTGGGGGGCTGTATATTGTAAACTTGTTAGTGTCAACGTTCCTGTGTATTATGTGTACCAGGTCAGAATATGTTTTACTATCGAGAGGTGAAATGTGCGAGATTTGATATATGAAAATTTTGCAAAATATCATAATTTTTTTTCCGGGATCAAATCGATGCCCGGGACATCTCCGGGACAGACATCCGATTTCCGGGACAATCCCGGGCATCCGGGACGTTATGGCATGTATGAATTAACTATGATGTATTTACACATTAAACTTACATGATTTTTACACAATAAATTATATTAATGTTTTTACACAGTAAATAATAATGACTTTGTTTACACGATACACTAATAATGATTTTACGCAATTTACTATAGTGATTTTACAAAATAAACTGTAATGATTTTACTCAACAAACTATTGTGATTTTACACAATTCACTATTGTGATTTACACAATAAATTGTAAATAAACTAATAATACAAGCAATCTAATTACTGTGTGCTATGCACAATAAACAATAATCATTTTACACAATAAACAATAATAATACAAGCAATCAAATTTCTGAGCTGTATTGTTTGGTTTTATTAACCTGTCAATTACATACTGATTACACGGTCGATGCACACAGTATATTAATCTTCGGGAGATGTTCGGTAAGTTCCGTGAGATGTACGCTGTACGATGGAATTTAATTTAATTTCTATCTCTAAACTAAGTGTACTCAGCGTTATAGCCCAATAGGGTAAATCACGAGTTTATAATCTAAGTGCTACACGTGTTTTAAGTTCGAGGCCGCGTTGGTCCATGTTTTTTCTTAGTAATACTTCCAACATTATTGAATTTATATATGATCATTTTATGTTGTTCGTATTGTTTGATTATGTTTTACTTAATTTTGTTATGTATATACTCTTTTTAAATAACATGTTTTTTTAAGAATTCATGTTTAAAATTAAAACGGAGTAAAATCAATAAATGTCTTTTCAATGCCGTAAAACACACTACAAATCTGTTCCATTAAAATATGCTGCAAAAATAAAGAAAGAGTATTAAAACAATGACAACAGTTAGGATCGAACCACAGACCTCTCAATTATCAGGCATTCTCTTTACCGACTGTCCTATTGTGAATTAACGAAAACCTTCACATTAAGCTGGCGTGACTTTCAATCCATGACTAATATACTCCACATTAATTCTCGTAAACTACACGGACCAAACCGAAGTGGGATCGAATATTTAAATGAGTCCTATAATGTATTCATAATTAACAGGTCAATAAAATCAGACTATACATAATAAACTAATGATTTTACACAATAAACTATAATAATACAAGCAATGCTGTACACAATAAATTACTGATTTTACACAATAAACTATAATTTTACAAGCCCTCTAAAAGTTGCTATCTCTTGTAATAATAATATATATGGTTATCTAAGACAAGTTTTACTGTATTATGATAAATTTACAAATTTCCCACAATTTGCCATCATTATGAGTTTATACCAGGAAAAAGCCTGTGATATATAAATACCACAGATAATTATGCAAATGTTGTACATGGCTGTTTCTGTTCATATACTACATCATTCTGTATCTGTATTATGTAACAACATAGGGAGTGATTGATTGTCATTAAGATAGCCTTCAGCTTTATATAGAAACACCATTCTTACATCATCCTCCTGGATCCTCCTGGGGCAGAAATTCTGCAATATCTGGAATCTACATTTACAGATATTTTACAAGCCTATGAGAATTGGTTTAAAGACCCATCATGATCAGATATTATTGGTGTAGGTGTAAGATGGATAGGTCCATAGAAGTTTGTTTAAAGGCCCACAATACTCAAATATGACTATAAGAATGTATACTGAAGCCCACCATGATCAGATATAGGAATTGAGTTAAAGGCCCATTTTGCTCAGATATTTTGACAATAAGAATTTACCGCCTCCGTGGTCGAGGGGTTAGAGTTGATGACTTCTAATCCAGTTACCTCTCTGGCGTGGGTTCGATCCCCGGGAGATGCTTTGCTAGGAGGAAGGTTGTCTAGTACTGGTGTAACTCTCCAGGAACGATGGTTAGGAAACTACTAGCCTATATGACTGAAATACTGTTGGAAAAAGGCGTAAAATGAAACAAACAATAAGAATTTATATAAAGGCTCCATCAAGATCAATCATAATATAGGTGCATGAATTGATTTAAAGACCCATTTTGTTCAAATATTTTGACTATAAGAATGTATATATAAAGGCCCACCAGGACCAGATGTTACTTATACCGGCAATGGATAAAGGGCCATTGAGCTCTAATATTATGACTACGTGAATTTAAGCTATTGAATATAAATTAAACCTTTTCAGCAAAAGTGGCTAAACATTTGGTGTAAAATTTGTTGTGATATAAATTAAAGTCCTACATTTTATTGTATTTATACTTGTAAAACATTTTGCCGTAAGTAATATAATTAGCACGGTGTTTATTTAACAAACACATTTAATGTAAATTTTGTGTTAGAAAACTGGTACTTTTCATTCAACAACCTGTTAAATTCGGCATATTTGCAATTTCCGAGTGGTAAATGACAGTTTACTGTCTATTTAACTTGTGAATACTTAAACATTTAAGTAAAGGTATACGCGACAAATTACCCTGGAGGCAATTTTATAAAGTAACATATCAATTATCCAAAATGGTGTGCCCATTCATTAGTGAAAATCATTATTTAGCAAGATTTACAATTTTGAACGATTAAAATTGTTACTTGTCTCCGTCTTAAATTAGACAACAATAGACTGTGGTAGACAGATTATATATAATTGACTGTATTACAGTCAGCCTGATGTTCAGCCCCAGAGGAACACAAATTGATACAAATGACCCAAAGTACCTTAATGTTAGAAAGGTTAGGTTACAAAAAATTTTAGAAAAATAATGAGGTCGAAGAATTTTTTTTAACATTAATATATCAATATTAGTAATTTGAGACCTGCTTTTGATCTTTTGCATATAATAACACTACATTTTTGTTAGTAAAAGTTCCTTTGGTGCATTAGTGAATTATAACTGACACAGCATTATACTACACTTCCATTTTTGTGAAGATTTGAAATTATTTTACCATTAAAGTTCTTGCAGAAGTAAAATCAGGCATATCATTTATTCAGGAGGATTCGGGCTAGAAAATGAAGAAGAAATAATGTTTCTTTAATAATCTTTTGTGTCCTGACCCTCTTGTTCTGATTATTTTTGTTAACTTGCTTAATTTCTTAAAAATACATGTCCATGCAGTTTCCATCTTGTAATTACCCCAGTAAAAAATTCAGTGGAATACCAGTGGAATACCACTGGAATACCGCTGGTATTCCAGTGGATTTTCAGTGGAATACCAGCGGTAAATTTTGGTGGTATTCCACTAAAAGTTTACCGCTGGTATTTCAGTGGAATTCCACTGGAATACCACTAAAATACCAGCGGTAAACTTTTAGTGGAATACCACCAAATTTTACCGCTGGTATTTCAGTGGAATTCCACTGGAATACCAGTGGAATTCAACCAAATTTTACCGATGGTATTTCAGTGGAATTCCACTGAAATACCAGCGATAAAATTTGGTGGTATTCCATTAAAAGTTTACCGCTGGTTTTCCAGTGGAATTCCACTGAAATACCAGCAGTAAATTTTGGTAGAATACTACCAAATACAGAGCCGGACGGACAGACAGTGCGATTTTAATATGCCCACCTTCAGGGGCATAAAAATCACTGGATATAGTAGTTGAATTAGTTGAAAATACAAAATCATTCCAAAGAGCAGATATAATAGCAAATATTTTATATACATTTGTTGGCTTTATATATATAATAGTAAGTATTGAGTCTCAACACATTTTTTTAGATGTAGAATATTTCCCTAAACTAAACAGTTATTTTGGTTATTCTCTTCTGCTTTGTTTTATAATATTTCCTTGTTAAAGATGCACTCTTACTCCCAAATAAGATTTCCTAAAGTTAATAATATTGTTTTAATAAAACACAAAAAGTGCAAGAACAGTTCAAGTACTACAGTTCATGAACAGTTCCTAAACTACATTTACATTATTTCACATTCATGAAAAATGCAAGAACAGAGCAGACAGATGATACCAATCAATTTGTGGACTGACAAGTCTAAACAATATGTACTCAACATAAGCTCTATTTAGCTATATTGTTCAAAAGTAAACCACAAACATGTAAAACTACATGTAAAATTTAAAAACTACACATCTTTGTTTAACAAGAAACTAAGAAATAGTTTCTTCAATACAGCTTGCTGATTTTCAAAAGTGCAAAAACCAAAAACTTGAAATTAGTTTTTTTAGTTTCCAATGTTTCACTTATTTTGTGATTTATTTCCTTCTGATGACCTTTTGTAAGTTCTCTAGTTTTTTATTAAATACTTCTTTTGATACACCGGTTTTCTTCCTCACTAGTCTTTAAAGATTGCTGAGTTTCAAGGGTTCAAGTGGTGGTCTCGGGGAATCCTTGCACTTATTGGTCATCTTTCCAGTCCTAGAGTGGGTTCTAAGTTCCTCCACAGTGAAGATAGTCTTTGCTAATGTAACCAAGACTTCTTGAGTATCACTTAGATGTTCCACAGCTTATAATTCGGGGTCCTCCACTTTTGTATTCTGACTCTCTAAAGCAGTAATTCCCTCCTCCATGCGCCAAATCTTTCTACGCAGGCTTCTGCACTCATCCTCCCATCTAGTTTGGAAATACCAAAAAAAAAACAATATAACGTCTAGTGTTTGAAATGACAGTTTTAAACATCACACAAATGTTACGAAAAAATGCGTTTCCATAGTACTCTTCAAACCTTTTTTTATACCCCAGTATCAGGGTAATCAGTTTTTCATTAATATTTAAGAAGAAAAAGCTAATTATGCGAATTTTAATCCTCGTGAAATTAGACTGAATTAAGATTTCGGTAATTTTTGCCATGAAAAGATATCTCGTTCTACTGTAGACAATTGTAAAATTGGGTCCTTGTAACCTCAACTATATTACTTACCCGTCAGATCTAGCCTCAACCACACAACCCCTAGCAGTTCCTGCCTTTTCGATGAACTTTCACATTGGACACTATCAGCAGGACCTATAATATTAATCACAATCAAGAAACTTCTAACATCATAAACAGTTGACCAATATCTTTAAAATATCCTGATCGACAAACCGTATCATTATAATTTTTTCAATTTGCATGTTCTAAGTAATGTTTTAATACTCAAAATATCTTGTTCAAGCATGTTCAACCACTTCACATCCTGCCCCTTACTAATACAGTAACAGATTACCATGACCAGTGTAAATTTTAGAGAATTTAGTTAAATATATAGTAGAATAAATTGTAAACTGGAATACGGGCCAGTAAATTCAAAAAATCTTAAATTCAATGCCTGAGAATTCAATTGTATTCAGGTCAGTGCTTCAAGTATGACAATGTTTATGCTATTTATGTTCTTTGCAAATCATCATGTGGGATTTACTTTAATGTACCAGTATTCAGATTCTCTAGTATAAGCTTAGGCAGTGTCAAAGACAAGCTATTTTAGCTAGGCCGTATCCTGAACCACTGACCTATAAATTTTGGTGGCCCACACAACTGTTTAGTGGTCCAATAATTCCTATAAATGCACAGAAATCTAGAGATTAAATCCAACACACACCCAAAAAAAACAAACAGAAAACAGGATTTCTGTGCCAATTAAATTTTTGGATTTAAAAATACAGACAGTCATGTGCTATTTTCCTTGTTGATCATATTCCATAATAAAACTACATAAATTAATGGTGATAAAAAAATTGTCTCTTTATGAAAATCTTTTTTTCTAATATGAGGGAAAATTGCTAAGATAGTGAACTGTCTGCATACTAGGGTGTTGAACTGTCTGGGGGTAAAAAAAACTTGCTACCATGCATTTTTCAAAAAACTATTTTAAACTAGATTCTATCTTTTAGAAGGCATTAGCAAATAATTGCCTGCAGGGAAACAGAACCGTCTTCAATCTTCAACGATGCTTTGTTTTTTATTCATTTTATATCGATCCTTTTCAACAACAAAGAAATAAATAAAAACGGGTCGCGAAAATATGTGACAAATGTCCGTTTACGCAATATTTCCAGTAAGGTTTAAGTATCTTAACTGTAACTAGGAATGAGCTGGAAATACAATTATTATTTCTATTGTTACAGTCGGCAAATTGTTACAAAATAATGCTTTAGAAGTGAAGAAAGGTCATTAAAATAGTTATAGACTCTTCATTTTTTTCTTGGAGGAGTCATAAACACGCCGGTTCAGTTTGGAAAAAAAATCAACTGGTGCATTTATGATAATACTCACAGTGAATTTCACCGATTGCAGCTTTGAAGGTCTTCTTCTGATAATTTGCTTGAGCAATTTCACCTTCCTCGTTGTATATCTTTATTGGGGAGATTATATCATCAGTTCACTGTTGATATGAGACGAAGTTTTTGCCGTCTTTGAATATTGCGCGCTCAATAGACCTGTGTACTACGCAATAAACCTGTGTACTACGTCAGTAACATGTGCACGATTTTCATCATTTCGTGTAATTCCGTTGTTTTTGCCGTCAATACAATGACCATACATGCCATAATTTTTAGACTCATTTCCGGGACACTTTTCATTTGAAGGTGGGGCATTGATCAGCAAACGTATTTCTTTTTTTTTAAATTTACATAGTGGCATACAACCTATAGGCCCTATAACCGGTAATTACAACTTGCAAATTTAATGACACCATAAACAAAGTCAGAATGTCAATAATTATTAACTGTTTTTCTATCTTTTTTAAGTATTTAGGCATCGTTAATTCAATCAGTCACAGAAAAGAATAAAGCTTTGTTAAGTAATGACAATTACCCACGTCGTTTACCTGAAACATTCACTGAATCTTGTAGATTTTATCACCTCATATTTAGCGGCAATTTTCACGGTGTTTGACCACTAATAAATGTGTGTGTGTGTGTATTTGCGTTTATTTATACTCGCCACCGGTTGCCCATATGGGCGAGCCCTCCAGAAGAGAATTAGTCATTTTATTTTTCGGAGGATAGTGCAATTACAGATACAGAAAGATGCCCCAATTCCAGAAGCTTCTCCTGGTTCTTTAGCGTGCCAAGTGTTTAAGCACCCATACACGGGACCTCGATTTAAAGTCTCATCCGAAAGACTGATTAGTAATTTTAGTTGGCCAGCCCGGGAATCGAACCCACAATGTCGAGATTACAAGTCTTGCGCTCTAACCGATTGAGCAATGCGGGCTGGCTAATAAATGTCTCCAGGCAGATTAAATTTATACTGTCCAGTTGGCCAGTGTATGACACCTTCACCCAGGAAGCCACAAGGGGTAATTAATCTTTTAATTAATCAAAATTATTGCCGATAATTGTTTGTTGGAAGGGGCACGTAGATATACCAATCAAAGGATTAGTGTCACCATTGCAATGCTGTTGGGGGATAATCGTTCGTTATTAGCGTTCTAGATAAGTTTACAAAAACTTGACAATAAAATTATATAAAAAAGTAAAATTTCTTGCTTCAAAGTAGATTATTTTAGATTTTTTATTTACCGGGACATAAATCATCTCCGGGACTGACACCTTATTTCAGGGATTGTCCATGGCATGTATGAGTATGACAATGACTACAAATTTTATTTCACAAATCTATTATTGCCCAACAGGCACTTGAATTTTAAACAAAGCTACCATAGTTTCCAAAAATTTTGTGTTGCTACGTCATCAGTATACGTATCCAATACGTCATGAATTATGCCTATATTTATCGTCTTGGTTAGCGTAAATATACAGATAATTGTTAATGTTTGCTGGGTAAGTAAAGAGTAAGTTATCATCGTTAATTTTCGTCAGCATCTGAAGTACATGTTAATATGACCTGCCACATACACTTTCATATTTAAAACAAATAAAGAAGAAAGCACTACTGCAGTATATAGATAGATAAGTTGGTTGAGTAAAAATTGGGGAATTTTATTAAAGAATCGACTGATTGAATTTCCATGGTCAAGCAATAAAAAAAAATACTGATGTCTTTATTTTATGCAAAAAAAATGTTTTGGGCCTATGCTAATCTGCCCAGGTCTTTATCTATTCTTGACCAGTTATCATTCTATTTCTGTAGTTATTTAATAACAAATCATGAACACATGGTCTTCATCAAAAGTTCTTCAGAAATTCATTAACCAATGTATTTAGGTCATCAAGTGTTCTTGAGCAGTAATCATTTCTATTTCAGCAATTATTAAAGGACAAATCATGAACTCATGGTTTTCATCAAAAGTTCTTCAATAATTCGCGACATTATTAAAGGACAAATCACAAACCCATGGTTTTCATCAAAAGTTCTTCAATAATTCATGATCCTAAGTTCATGAACCTTTAAAGAATTTGGTTTCGTTCTTTTTATGCCAATGAACAGTTCATGAACAAGCTTGAAGAACTGTTCATGAACATAAGTTCTTGAACAATCATTATGAAGTGTTTAGGACCAGTTCGTGAACTGTTCTTAAATGTATTGAAAAGTTCATGATTTCAAGAACACTATTTCACAGGGGTGATATACTGGTTTGAACCATGACTGTCTAATCATCCAGTAAATTTATACTATGATTGTATTTCTATCATATAATTGAAACATTATATTATTCAATTGTTTTTAACTGTGAATAAATAATTCAATTACTTAATTGTAATGACTATATATTGATTATGATGTTTACCCTAGAATTCTATTTTTGACCTCAGATTACCAACATGTATACACACAAATATGAACAGAGACAATTTTGATGGAACCTTTTTTTCATGTCGTAATTGTACATACCGATGGTAAAAATTAGTCCACTGGAAGTGTCCTTATTAAATTGTATATATATTATAAAGTCACCAAGTTCACTGGAAATCCAGTGGTTTACACTGGAAATCCAGTGGTTTACAACTGAAATAAATTTGACCAGTGGCATACCACTACTCAATATAGGTTACCAGTGAAAAACCAGTGGAATACCAGTGGAATTATAATAACCACTGAAATGCAGTGTTATTCCACTGGTATTATGTAGTATTCCAGTGGAATACCAGTGGATTTATGGTTACCACTGGAATAAAGTGGTATTCCACTGGTATTCCACTGACATTTTTACTGGGGTATGTAGATATCAAGATTTAAATTTGAAGTTGGTCAGTCAACATTATAGAGCCTTGTCATATTGCATGAAAACTGTGCAGACTGGCCTGGCTCTAGACTGGTGATGAAGCCCAGTGTATAACCTATATTGAGAATGAATACAAACTGCATTGAATAGTATGAACATTATGTTAAATTACAGTGCAAAGGTTTAATTTGAATGATTGATTTAGACACATTTGCATATAACAACAAATGGTTATGTTGTGGCAGTATTTATGTAAATTTAAGCAAAACAGAATGTCAAAAAAGTCATGTAAGTGACAATATTGTAACATGCAGTGACATTTAACTAGGTTGTTGAGTGATTTGAATTGATAATTAATTGTTATGTAAAGAAATGTTTATTTTTTTCTGCTTTCAGGTTGTTACATCTTGTGTCCCTCAGCTGAACCATGAGCTGGTGAGTTTTTTGCTTTATTTTATTTTTTTAATATTTTTTTTTTTATAGTTTTTTTTTCCTGTTTGCCAATGGCCAAATCAACATTTTGGTTAAAGAAAATTGCACATAAAGTTTTTATCACATAATAGAAGAAATAGATTAGTTTAAATTAGTTTAGAATTAACTAACTTAAGCATAATCAAATGTCTGAGACAATGCTGTACTTTCCATCTGCATAAGATTTAATCCCCTTAGCAAATGAGAATATTTTAAAAGGGGAAGTAACTTGGTCTGGAATAACTAGTATCCTGATCCTTTGACCCAATATATCCTGCATATTGCAAAAACAAAACAAACAGTGAATATTAAAATAAAAACCCAAACATTTTAACATTTGCAGATGATATTAAAGTATTTTATATAATTTCATTAATGTAGACTATTTGTAGACATATTTTTGGGAGTAAACAAAGTATAAAGAAATATCTATTTTCAGCGATTTTCGTATCGCCATTCATAATTTATCTTGTCCTTCATAAGAATTTTGTTACCATTCTTCACAGATGTTCTCAAATGTTTATGGTAAACAATATTTTGATAACAATGCCCTGAATTGGTCTCAATTCATCCTTAAATAATGTAGCATATCAGATAAGCTACATCAAATAGCATAGATTATAAAATTTAGCACAGTCGAGTTGACCTTCACAACAAGTGATACTGTAGAATGGTGCAAAGATCTTTATCCTATTCAGTGTCGCAGTATTTGTCAACAAGTTAACCAAAGTGCCGCTTCTTTTATGATAATATAAAAGTTAACCAGAGTGCCGCTTCTTTTATGATAATATAAAAGTTAACCAGAGTGCTGCTTCTTTTATGATAATATACTAGGTTATCTACTATCTGCTATTTATACATGATTTAAATGACCTTGACCTGTTTAGTGCAGGATCAGGAAGCAAAGGGGAACAAAAAAATTTCAAGGTCCTTTTTACACTGATTTTGTTTGTCAAAGCTATCATTATCGGCATATTCACTGATAAACTTATTTGACCTTAAACGTCAAACCTGTTGATGCGCACAGTATCCTTTTCTGTTTTAACCGTTTCCACTTTTTCTGTTAAAGTTTATACAGTATTTCTACACTTTGGTCTAGTAAGAGAAAAGAATGCATGGCTTCCAGTGGGCAGGGCTGAGCGATTAGACTTAAGACAGTCAATTGGCATAAGTTGCTTCTTGTTTCATGAAATACAGTATTATTGCGAATGACTAGCATTTTGACAATATTCATAATCTTGTAAGCAAAATATCTAAAGAATCACTGTAAATATTGAAAGTTTATGATTTGAATGAGTCGAACATTGCATATTGTGTCGGACTTGTCTGTGGGCAAACAGAGAGTAAAATTCAACTTGCCCCATGTTTTCAAACATAAGCCTTTAAGACCTCGCACATTAAAATTTTATCATCCATCTTATATAATGCCAGAATAACATTTCGTTTTGATGTTTATTTTGAAAAAGAAAATGGGTGAAAAATGAAACTACTTTTTTCTTACTTTACACCTGAAACCCACATGAAAGATTGGGAAACGGAATGTGTAAGCCTCATTGGATAAAGTTATTACTTAGTATTACTTACTTACACATGCAAGTGTCTGTTTTCAGGGGGCTGGTTATATGAGATGAACATTAAACGGCCATATGAGACACATATTAATCGGCCCAGTTGAAATAACTTTGCTCACATTACTTAACATTTTTTTTGAATGACATATTTGTAAACCAGGTGGTTAAGCCTAGGTGAAGGTACCTGGCCTGTCCTATTAATAAATAATGGTCATCAGTTTTTGATATACATGTAGTGGGATTTATTTAAGTGAAAGGAATTCCACTGAGGTCCAAAAGCCTAAATACATAAAATTTGAATTTCTTACATAGAGCAACTGGGGCACTTATAACAAACATTTTCAAAAGATAATTAACGAAAATCATGTTTGTGCTTTATTAACCCAGATTTGAGTGTTCAACGTTTCTCATTTTTTGGTTATTTTTTCACAATTAGAAATTTATTCTTAAAAAACAGAGTGCTCTTAATGATGTGAAATTATGCACAAGTCATTGGTCTTGACCTACATCAAATGGAACATTATAATCTTGAAAAATTATTTCCAGTCCCTTCATGTCAAAAAAGCTGAGTGGAGTCCCTTTAAGACCCTTTGGGTCGGTTTCCAACTCCTATAGTCATAAACAGTTTCTGTAAATTTTAATTTTTCATTGAAATCAAGAAACACCATCATATGTAGAAATATATAAATTCTAGTATAGTTGATAACACTATTTTCATATGCAATCCAGATTAAGAACTGTATGATAACAATCTAAATAAGACCTTACAAAAACATTTTTAAGTAGACGATTTTACGAAAGCCAGCCAGTAAGACTTTTTCTTCATGATCTTAGTTATTTAAAGTTTCATTTTTGAATAATATTGCTTATGAATTTAAATTGAATGCTAGTATTTTGGGCCGATAAGTCTCTCCTTTGCTGCTTGCTGTACTATTGATAATATCTTTTATTAATTGCTGTTTGGACCGAAAATCTGTCTCAATGTTACCTGCTGACCAAGGCAGTATAAGGGCATGCCGAGTTACTGTCCATGGGCTGAGTGTACCTGAGGGACGGGTATTCTGATCTGAACCACTAATATATCGCAGATATTTTTTTCATGAATATTGTACCATATTTTAAATGTCAAATACCCCAATAAATTAGTTTTTTCATGGAAATTAATGTAATTTGATCCATTACTATTTTCGTATAGACGGTTATGAATTTAAAATTATAACAGCAAAATACTGTTGTCCAGAGTAAAGCACTCGGGACATACAGAAAAAGTCCATTCCGAGAATGTTTGTTATGTAGAAAAGCTGGTTGAGTTGATTGAAAGCCTAGATACAACCCCAAAAAATGTGTTAAAATTGGTTTAAATAATAGAAAATTAAACAAAATTTTGATATAAAATGTGCAGACGTCATTTTGGAATACCTGACTCATCTGGCATCCCTCAATGCCAGTTGAAAGTTTCAGTATAATTTTTAAGAGAAACACCTGTCCATAAACAAGAAATGCGTGGTCTGTTTGTCAAGGCTGCAAACTTCTGCTGTCTGACTCTTGATATAGATTTTAGCTCCACTTTTCCAAGAAATAGGTCATAACCATTTTTGTAAGCATCAGCATTGGTTAAGATCCATTTTCTGAGAAGCTGAAAAAACTTTTCACTCTAACCTTGGTATACTAGTTTATTGTGATAAAGAAAAGCCATTTCAAAGGGGCAGATAATCCTTAAACTATTTTTGCAAAGTTATGGCCCTTTTTCAAAATTCTGTATTGCTTTAACTATCCAGCAATGGAAAAGGTGGACAGATAATTCACAGTAGGACTAATCTGTTGTATATATGTACTGGGTCATAAGTTTTGACAAAGGTCAGGTCACAAGAATGCATCACCTGGAGTTTAGTCTATATTGTTTGAAAAGCATGTCGGGACAATCGCAATTATGAAGATATATGAAATATAATAAGAAACCGTTACTGATATAATTACACACCTGGAGACGTTTTGACGCGTCCGCGTGTCATTTCTTACACTTAAGGCCATACAACAAATCCCAGTATTTAGACAGTTTTACTTCGTCCTTACTAATTATTTATTGTCTGTCCAGTCCATAAAAAGTAATTTAGTATCACTTTATTATAGTAAATAGTTTTCTAGTGAGTGTTGCTCTAATTACTATTGTAATGCATTATTTATTTTTCATCATTTAGTGCAGCATTAGTCAGCCATTTTGAAAATATTGCAGCCATTTTGATTTTTGGCAGCCATTTTGAAATAATTATGACGGCTATTTTTGAATTGTTAAAGCATTTTGGAATAAAGAGCAGCAATTTTGAAATGTGGCAGAGTCAGCTTAAAATGTTGCAGATTAGGTATATGGTATAGAAGAAATATCTGTCATATGTTGTGGTTTGGATTGGAATATCCATCTCAAAGGGACGCGCTGGTTGGGCGTTTACAAGGCTTGCCTAGTTACCGCCCTATGACAGGTTGCGGTCCTTGGACGGGTTTCCCGAGGGCAAGATATGCAAGAATAATCAGTAAAGATACAACCGTTAAATTCTGGTTCTGACTTTTGTTTTTGAATATTATCTTTTAGAACAGTGAATGGCTTTGTTATACCCGAGTACTCTGCAGCTTGGCACTTATTTTGGAGTTCAGTCTCAGATCTTTATTGATCAGTGTACATTCTGAGCTTGTTTCTGACCAATCAAATACTGAAGATAATACTGGTAACAATAGTATCTCTCATGACTATACAAATTCATGCTTAAGATGAGTCTAAACTTTGGTGCAATTCGCCCCACATACACTCAAAACCTTCCTTACCTTAAACCAATACGCAATCTGTCAGACCAGATTACACATATAAAATAAAAAGAGACGCTTGTGCATATGATGTTGCGGACAATCAAGCCTTTAAGTAACAGCAAATGGCAAGATTAAAATCTTTGACCGAGCCGTTTAACCTTCTTTTGACTTGTGGTTGACTTGGTGCAAAGATGACACTTATTCTATCTCCTTTTGAAACCTGCTGAAGAGTTCTTTTGTTCCTTTAATTGAGCTTTTGTAAAATGATAGGGTATAATAGAATTCAAATCTTTAAATTGTGCGTGACTATTTAAATGTGCAGTAAATGGGATTTAAGGTGAAATATTTCAACATTGTATTCAATGAATGAATGGTAAAACTTGATGCTGAAGCAAAATGGCAACTTGAGTGACGGCAGTTTATGTTTTTTCTAACACTATGAGGTTTACATGAACCCCCCCCTTCCACCCCTCCCCCATGTTGCTGAAGGGTTGCTTTTAAGGGTTAAGGCATCAGAATTGCAGCCTTCGTTATCCCTGATCTTAGGAGGCGACTAAATGGGTTTGAATTTATGATGTCTATGCGTCTCTTAGCTGTGTACTTTGTCACATTTGCAGCTTAATAATTTCATTTTGATATTCAATTGCTATGAAAAGCCATGTCAAATTTCTTATTTGCCATAATTATGGTATTTTAATTGCAACTGTTTGGTTAATAAATTTTATGCACATGAAAATTTTATGTGCGTAAATCTATGCAGTATTCATATAAATTTGGTTAATGGCTTACCAGTGATAAAGTTATGGGGGTGTGAAATATTATATTACAAATTGTGCACACAACTGAAGGAAAACATTAAATGAAGGTAAGATAAGGTAAAAACTGCAAGTTTAACAATTAAAGAAAGTTTAAATTCACACTTAACTTTGGCTTTATACTTTTTAACAGTAAATGAACATGTTTTGCTTCACTTCCCAAATACTGATACAAAAAGGTCTAGCTGATTGTAACGAAGGGAACAAGTTGACTAACCCTGATAAAATCATCAAATAAAAATAAAAGTGTTTAATGAAAATATTTTATTTTAAAAAAAAAAAAGGATAAATAAAAAAAACTGAACATTTATCTCTCAGCTAATGTTTTCATAATTTTTTTTCTTTGAATTTTACACAGACATTTCAAAGGTATTCCTGTAGGAAAAAAAACTGCTAAATGATTTATATATATATTGCATATTGAATTTTACATTTTTGATAGCAGTGTGCTAATTTCACTTAAAAATGTTAGAATTTATTTAAAGGGAAAAAAATAAATAATTAAAAGAGTTCATTTTCTTTCATGTTGTATTGATAAAAGCTCATTGACCTTGAGAAATATGGACTTTATGTTACAATAAAGTATTCCCTTTGATGCTTTTAACGTATAGTTGTTCAGGGACCATTCAAACTTGTTTTGCAAACATCGAGTGAATGAACCGCCTTTTAATAAAACTTGTATGACAAATAAATAAATATAGCCCAGTACAGGCCTATTTGCATAAATGGTATATATTTTACGTATTAATCTTCACAACCTCATCAGGCGTGACTAATGACATTGTACTTATGGTGATCAAACACGTTTGAGATGCCCCCTCACTCCCTACACAAGAAAGAAAAAAAAATACATGATAAGATTATACTGTATGCATAAAAGGCTAGGCTTATTCTGCTTAAAATTAAATCGTAGAATTGTTAAAAGAACTGGTTTACTATTTGTTTAGCAACAATACTATGCGGTGAAGAGCTGTATATTGTATTATACCTACAATGATTAAGTGGGATTTTAAATTTTTTTACTATTGAACAGATAGTTACGGTTTGGAATGCACTTGTATATAGTCGTGATTTAGATCAGTTGTGAAATAAATTATACCTTGATAAAAACAAAATTGTGACAAAAAGTTATCATGTTGATCTAATCTTGAGGATATTGGCAGAGAAAATGCAATATGCCTTTTATTTGTATGCTTAAATATGGCTTATCAACATTTAAATCACTCGACCACACATGACTTATGCAAAACTATTCCCTTGGACATCTTGACTTTAGGCTTTAACCTTTTATATTAATGACTTGGCAAAGTATCACCACTGAGTTGAAACCCTGGCAAACCAGCACAATCATGTGTGCAGTCTGACCAAAACTCATGAACTATTGCTACCCATGTGTTGTTATTTAAACTGATTAATTACTAATTTCAAAGTTCAGGGCATAAGTCCATTAAACAAAGAGGTTTAAAACAGAACACTTTAAACCCAAACCCTGCTTAAAATGTCATAAATGGACTTGTCCAGCTTCCAGTCTTGGAACTGTCAATTATCAATTTTTTTGCGACATAACACAACAAAATGAAATGAAAATGTGAAAGGAGTTGGGGGCTCCATACTCTCAGTGTCTGAAAGGGCGGATTGGACCCTTGTTAAGCACTAAAAGGATTGGCCAACAGTACAGTATGGTTAGAGATTGGACGGATGTGCAGGCTGGTCTGGCTCTATACTTGTAGCAAAGGCTTCCCTTTCAGTCCCATCAGGGCAAGGGTTTAGCTGTTAATATATGACAATAACATAAATTTTAAGACAATTTCAATTTAAAAGGTATAAAAAAGCAACAGTTTTAACATAGTTCAACTTAATATATATCTGATTTAAGACAAATTTATAAAACACTGTTACACTTCAGGCAAATTTTATCATAGCATAAACGAAACTGTAAAGTATAATATAAAATGTGCAATGTGAAAAGAAAAGTTTCAAAGTTAAGATTGTCAAGTGCATTGATATCAATCCGCTATTTCATTAGTAACCAAAGTATTCTTTTCAAATTTCAAAATGTTAAAAACATGGCTTTTAAAGTTAAGAAATTCATTAAGGTGCTTTTAACCACATTCCAAAGTAAAAGAATTTTTGTTATGTTTGTAGTGACTTTTAACGTCCTTGGCCATTTGTAACAATGTTGCAATAAAAGCTTTAACTTCATTGTGAACTCTTCAAAATAACGAATTTTATTTCATCACAAGACTGACGTTTATGACTTTAAAATTTAACAAAAGTAATTTATACATGTTTAAACCTTTTGAAGCGTTGTTTAATAAAAATTTAAGTTTGGGTGTAAATTTCTTCATCTAGGATACAGATATTGCGGGCAATACTTTTATCTCTGTGTAAATAAATACTTTGTTTCCTTCATTTTGTCAAGCTTAAAATACATCAGGCAAGCGTTTCACTAATATTCCATAAGTTTAGCATATCTTTTAGGTAAATTTGGACTTACAGCATTTCACTATACAGAATGTGCAATTTACGCCAGCAACTTTATGTTTAAACCTATGTAAATGTGTAAATAAAGAAAGTTTAGTGAAATACAAATAAATACCTACGTTCTGCTTACTCAAATAGTGAGTTATGATAGCTTACATGTAAGTATGTTAGTGAAACGTACCCCTGGACTTTATTTCATACCCTTAGTGACCGGGAGGGGGGAGGGTTGCCTTTAATAGTTGAGGCATAAGAACTGCAGCCTGCGTGGTCTGATAGTAAGAGGCCACTGAATGAGTCCAGATAACTGGAGTATTATGCATCATGTAGCTCCAGCAGGTGGGGTGGTTTTGACCCCTGGTAATGCTTTGAAGTGTGTAACACCCAAGGTTAGCCATAATCATCTTTCCCCTGTTGGTGCTGATATAATGACCTATACTGTGTTGGTGCATCATGAAAACAAAAAAAACTTTATTTCATTAAAACATGTACTTCAAGATGAAATATCCCAATCTATTGTAAACAATATTGATGCTGTAGAACCATGTCAATATATTTGGTGTACATTTTCATCATGACCTTAATTTATGTGTTTAATATCCTGCAATCACAGGCTACTATGAATCAATTCAAAAACACTGTAACAGATTTAATATAGCTGCAATCACACACAAATAAATCAAAGAACACATAATACGATTTTTTTTCATTATACAAATTGACCAATCAATTGGCCAGCTCAAATTAAGGGCACTTGACAAATCTAGACCACATGATAGACAAACAGGTCAAATAAAGAACACATGACAATACTGTTTGTTAATAATCATTCTAATAAAATGATCATTTGCTTACTTAATTAAAATATGTAAAAAGTTTGTTTTAATGTTAAAGAATTTTCTTTTTTTGTATATTTTCAGAGTCATGAGGACACCTTAAATCATAACTACTCTGGCTACCCAAAAGTTGTAAGTATCTTAACATTGTTGATTTTTATGCCTCCACATAAGATTTTCACTAGTCTGTCCGTCCGTCCATCTGACAGTCAATGGCAGTTCAATGCAAACATTGAAATAAAAATGGGACACCCAATCCCTATTTTCAACAATTGAAAATATTTTTAGCTTTTCAAATTTTGAATTAGTTGTTATGTTTTCAAGTTGAGGGGAGTGGTGGCATTTTGTTTTAAGGTGTCAGCCTGCCTCTCAAACCAGGGATTTCTGGTTCAAATCTTAGGTCATGATCGTGATTCCTTATAGAATGTTAATATAATATTATACTATGTTAATTCCAGTGAGTAAACTCAATCGTTGTTTTAAAATAAGCTACAAACTTTCTTCACAAATCAAGCTTAAATAAATATATAAAAATAATTTTTATGTTTTGAAAATTTATAGTTTTTGTCGCTACTTCCAGCAAGCAGTGCCGGGTATAACGCAGCAACGGGGCACAATGTCGTCCAACTTGAATGAAATGATTGCACGTGATCGGGTAGATGGCGGTGAAGTGGCGTGTATTCTTGACCTGGTTTACATCACTGAGAGAATCATTTGTAAGTTCTACCGACATATCTGTATTTTCAAAACCTCTGCAGAGCAATATTCTTTTAATATGACAAAGAGACTTAGGTTTTCTTTATAAGACAAAGAGACTGGTATTCTTTATAAGACAAAGAGACTTTGGTTTTCTTTATAAGACAAAGACACTTTGGTTTCCTTTGTAAGACAAAGAGACATTGGTTTTCTTTATAAGACAAAGAGACTTTGGTTTTGTTTATAAGACAAAGTATTTGGTTTTCTTTATAAGACAAAGAGACTTTGGTTTTCTATATAAGACAAAGAGACTTTGGTATTCTTTATAAGACAAAGAGACTGGTATTCTTTATAAGACAAAGAGACTTTGGTTTTCTTTATAAGACAAAGACACTTTGGTTTCCTTTGTAAGACAAAGAGACATTGGTTTTCTTTATAAGACAAAGAGACTTTGGTTTTGTTTATAAGACAAAGAGACTTTGGTTTTCTTTATAAGACAAAGAGAATATGGTTTTCTTTATATGTCAAAGAGACTTTGGTTTCCTTTATAAGACAAAGAGTCTTTGGTTTTCTTTATAAGAAATTAGAAAATAACAGGTAATACACTATTATATAACCTGTCATAATGCTTTATAACAAATTTGTAATATCGCACTACTTACTTTAATTGAAACAGAAATCATGGGCAAAAGGTCCTTTCTTTTTATTTGCAATGGTAATGAGATAGGACAGAAAGACTCGAAGACTTTTCATTTCGAAATATGACTCTGTATCAGCTATTAAATCAGCAAAATAACAACACTTTGTGATATGAAAGAGTTTTCCTACTTACCGGATACTTGACTTTTGACATTTTATGAATTAAGTCTTTAATGTTTGCCATTATGCCAAGAACAAATAAAGTACACATCATAATTTTTTGTTACAATATTTTCTCTCATTTCAGCGATGTCCTTTGCTTCAGAAGAACATGACAACACATACAAGTATAATCTGAAAGAAGTTACACGTATGCTCAAAACCAAACATGGAGACAATTATCTGGTAAGACTGATGTTCATCTTCAATCTTTCACAAGTTGATTTTTCATTTCCCCTGGCCACCACTCTTGCCCAGTTTTTGGTCACTTACTCAGCTCTTGGTCTTTTACCTTACTCAGTCCTTGACCAGCTCTTTGTTTCTTATCCAGGTCCTATATACAGTTCTTTGTATATTACCCTGCTTTTGGTCTCCTAGCCAGCTCCCTTACCCAGTTCTTTGTATATTACCCAACTGATGGTCTTGCAACCAGCTCCCATTTCCAGTATTTAGTCTATTTCCCAGCTCCTTTACCCAGTACCTTGTCTCTTACCCAGTTAAGCTCTTGGTCACTTCCCCAGATCTTTCTTTCCTACTTAGCTCATGCTCTCTAATACCTGGGTCTAACTGCAGTCACTGGTTATCCTTGTTTGTTTGATAGAGATGGCTAAACGGGTTTCAAATTACTGAAGTGATGCATCTCTTAACTCCTTCAGGTGAGATGGTTTAGACCCCTGATGTTGCTTTAAGTTTGTAACACCTTAGCTTTGCCAATATCATCTTTTCTGTTTTGGTGCCATATGACCTTAAATATGTTGGTGCTGTCTTGCTCTTTTACTAATCTCTCAGTTCATAAGTTCTAACTTACTTAAGCTTTTTTTTTACTTGGAAACTTGTCTTAAAAGTCAAACTCTGACTGCAATCAAACTTTTTGTTTCTGATTAGTCAATGCTGCAGGATGTTATGATACTTAACTATCTGACAGGTTATTTATAGATCTAGAAGAGGAACAGTTCTACACGATACCCAATTTTTGATGCATTAATCATTGTGTTTGTTGGTAGGCTTGATTTATATTCCATGAAATAACGGAACCAGGCCCTGCAAATTCACTTTTCAGAAGTTGTAAATCGCAGGTGCATAAATAAATTTTATCAGAGAAAATGGCAAAAAATCAGAGATTCAATGTGGCAGCTACTTCAATCTTGACAGAAAAATGTAAATCACCGAACTGTATTGATTTATAGAAGATATGTAATCTATGCAGTTAAAGCACTTGAAATGCAAAGATAATGAAATATTTGATATATTATCTATCTCCTGTATTAGAGAGTATATAAAATCTAGTCTCCTATTTTGAAGAGTATTTTGACATCAAATCTCCTTAAATGAAGAGTATAGTTAACTCCAAAGTCTTATATTGAAAGGCTGTATTTCAATAATCATGTTTCCATTAATTCATCCAAAATCAATTCTTCAATTTTGAAGAGTATTTTTACTTAAATCTCCTCAATTGAAGAGTATGTTTTTTTAACTACATAGTCTTTTATTGAAATGGTCCTATATTAAAGGTAATAATTCAATTAACATGTTTCCATTCATTGATCCAGATATTTGTTCAATGATCTATTGATTTTGAGAAGAATATTTAAATACTTTAACACCTTTTTAGACATAGTTTTATGAGGGTTGATTTATAACAATATTATTTTTTATTTAGTTTAAAAAAGCTTTGATGAAAAAAAACTTATGAAAGCAAACAGTTGTATAGAACATTAAGCTTAATTTAATCTGCTGGTGGCATTGGTAGTTTTCACTCTGGATCACAGCAGTATGCCACATTGAATTTACTTGAGCATTGTTCAGCCATCACATCGGTCCTGGGTATATTAGCTGTCAAGCAATTTACCAGTTCTAGTTGCCTTAACTTTCACAAGGAACTGATAGTTCTATACATGCCAGAGCAGAGGTACAGTGCAAATGACCATAGATATTATGATATCATGATCAATCACAATGAAAGTGACTTGCACCATCAAAGAATTGAACCCGGATTGCCCGATTCACAGTTCAACTCTGGTGTGGGGGCAACTGAATTGTAAATTTAGTACTTATACCCTTGTATATCCTGCAAGCGGTAAATGATTCTACCCATGCAACCAGTTCAGACCAAAACAAGCTTGCACATCAGTGCTGTCTGATCATGGTCTGAACTGTTGACTATTTAGTCAGTACACAGTATAGAATTATCCCTAAAATGATAATGGTTTTGTCCAGACTAGTCCATTTTAAGATATTTAGTGGGGTATGGGTTAAATGAGATAGCAAGACAATGAGATTGTATTCATTCCCTTTTCATCTATAAATAGCAAGAAAGTATTGTATGATGGATATAATTCTGGAAATGTACTTTTCTTCTGATAGTATGTTCATAAACCATGAAGTCAAATTATGTTTTCATTTAATTTACAGCCAGCTACTTTCCAATTAGCCTGAGTTGCATTTCTTTGATCTTTGAAGCAGATTCTTTAATTGGACACCCTTTGTGGATTGTACAACAGTTGTGAAATTGTTTCTGTTAAAATTTAATGATTTAATTTTATCATGAAAAATGCTGCAGCTTGCATATAATTATATAATTACAATTTAATGAGATATTTCAAAGCTTCAAAATTGCCAGGCAGAGTTCTGCTGTTTGTATCTGATACAGTGTACTAAGACAGCAGATCTGAACACAGCAGAATATGGAGAGAAGAAAACCTAATTACTTAACAGTGTATGACCATGTCTTGGTCAAGATCACTATCAATCTTTATGGCTGAGGGGTTGCCTGTAAGGGTTGAATTTGAGGCATCAGAATTGCAGCCACCGTTTAACCTGTGTGATTGTGAGAGGCGACTAAATGGTTTGAAATACGGGAGTCTATTTCATATCGGAGCCCCCCCCCCCCCCAAATTTACATTCCCAATGCCACTCCCATTACCATACCCCATTCCACTCCCTATTACACTCCCCATATCACATTGCTTCGAACCGGGAGAGCTATGATAATAGTTTAGTTTGTACTTCATATGCTACAGAAACAATGAAAGGATTCATGTTTTTACTTAGCTTATAGCATTAATGCATATACTTAATATGTAAAGTTTTTGCAACAATAAATTTACAATGTAAGTAAAAATAGTAAGTTAAGGTCATTAATCAACTATTCATACACACATGTATGAGAATTAGATCAAATTATTCACAGGGCATTGCTTATGGCAATGGCCTGCCATGAATGGTCACTGACATGGATTAGTTATTTAGGGTACCTTTATTATTGATAATCATAGGTGCCAATAATAGTAATATTATCGTAACTGTAATATGAAATAAGCTAATATATAGTGCTAACCACACTAAATATCTTAAAAGGACTTGCCCATGTTTCAATTTTGACAAAGTCATTCATCATTTTTTATGAAAATTTTCAAAATATTATCTGACTGTATAGAGAATCTGAGTGCAAACCATGATCAGACTGTAGGGATGTGTAATGTAAATAATCCTGTATTACACTTTTGTTTTAATCTGTCTTTCTTCTTTTCTAGGTGATTAATATCTCCGAGAAGAGGCCTGACCTTGCGAAGCACTGCCCACAAGTGTTGGATTATGGCTGGCCAGATAATTTGGCTCCGCCCCTTGAACGTCTCTGCAGTATCTGTAAAGCTATCGACCAATGGATGGGCACAGATCCAAACCATGTGGTTGTTGTTCATTGTAAAGGTGGGCGTGGCAGGATAGCTGTTGTAATAGCAGCTTATATGAGATACAGTAACATCTGTGCCAGGTAAAATACAGTTAAACTCCAGTTCAAACTGGACTTCTCGTTTACAAATTTTGCTGCCAGATTACGATACAGTTGGTGTTCATATTGAATAAAGGCTTTTGGCCTCGAGGCAACACTTTGGTCAAGTTTTTGGGTGCAAGTTTGTTTTTCCAGGGAATGTGTTAAAACTGCACTTTTATTTGAGAGTATAGTAGGAGGTCACTGTTCAAGGTGCATAACTCTTAACATGAATGCTGACAGAATAATGGCCCTTTTTGAACAGGTGGTCACTATTCAAGGTGCATAACTCTAACATGAATTTTGACATAATAATGGCCCTTTTTGAACTTCTAAAATATCACTTATTATGCCACAGATTTAAATTTGCAGAGGTGGAGGGTTGGGGATTTTCCTAGATTAATTTGGAAATTCCAATAGTTTTTATTAACCAATAAGGCCTATATTTGGCCCTGGTTTTATTTGTAAAGCTTTGAAGATAGTTCTTTATTATTGAACATATTTTAAAGAATAGATCTCTACTCAAGTATATGGAGCTTCAGTGAAATTCAATTTCTTAATGAATTGTAAAAAATATTTTTTTTATTATTTACTTTAAAACAAGAGAGACTCTTGAAAGCTTTAAGAGACCAAAGCACATAGTTGAATGCATGAAGGTATTTTAGACCGAGTGATTTATCACACACACTGCACCAGGATTACTGGTTCCCAGAGGTTATGCAAATGTTTCTTGAAATCTCTATACTCATTCAGAGGTATAAAATATAATAAAACAGGTTTTGAATAGACTAAAATGTTGTACCCGGATTTGAGCATATCATAAATTATATATCTCAGAGATAACTAAATTCTGCTTTGAAATTTTCAGTGTCTTGCAACTTTTTTGAGCAATTGACTAGACTTAATGTTGTACCCAGATTTGAGCATACCCCATAAATTATATATCTCAAAGATAACTAAATTCTGCTTTGAAATTTTCAATGTCCTGTGAAAAAGCTGGTTATTTTGAGCAAATGATATTGTCTGTTTTTACAGTGCTGACCAGGCATTAGACAGATTTGCGATGAAACGTTTCTATGACGATAAACTTGGGGGATTACCTCAACCATCACAGAGAAGGTATGTATCGTAGTTGTCTCCCTTGGCTTAATTCCTGGAAAAATGTCTAGAAATAGCTTGGAGAAAAATACATATTGACTTGAGGTATTCTTGATGATTCTTTACTAGATCTCAAGTTACATTTTAAGGTCAGAAAGTGAAAGATTAGAACAAAACATTTCATTGGTTGATTTGAATTTTATGCTTAGAATGAGGCTATATGGAGAATGGTACTCAAGCTTTCAAGTCTTTTTTACATAGCTTTAGAAGGTGAAGTGTTCAAATCAATATAGGTGAATTTGTACTTAAAAACTCATTTTCTTTACTTGATTGATATTTTTGTACTCCCGTACAGGAAATGAGATAGGATATTCGGAATGTTTTCCTCTCAGAGTATTTACTTAGTACACTTCATATTGTTTGCTCGGTAAATAATTTCATATTTGGAATAGGTATCAACATATTGTACTGTATGGTAATTGCAAATATTGGTTATTAATGTAAACATAAGCATGCAAAAATCAATTATGATTTATGGAATGTATGTACTTGATGAATTTGTGGAAAAATATATTTTATTAGGCAATGCTTGATTACACTTACTCCTACTCCATAAGGACTGTGACTCAATTTTCCTTAATAAGAAAAATCTGTATAAAGTTATCCAGTAAAATGATTTATCATAATTGTGTCAATAAAACAAATTGGAGCAGTTGTCAAGTGGTAAGGTGCCTTTTGCAAAACCCAGGGATTGTGGGTGTAAGTCTTAACTTTAGTGTGTGTTCTCATATTTCACCAGTACTGTTAAATTTCCAGGTAGTGAACTTGAAAAATGTTCAGAAAAGCTGTATTGCACTACACTTGGTATGTCGGTAACGACTCCCTGAGATGAGTTTAACGTACATGTACTTTACACAGTAATTATAGAAGAGAGGAATGCATGAATGCATAAAGTTTGAGCAAATCCTGAGGAATACTTTTCCCTTTAAATAGGTGGCACAGTCATTAATGATGTAACAATTTTAAAGCAATACTTAATAATTGATCTAGAAGTATGTATTTCATCTGACCTTAAAAAAAGCCCCTTTTCATAAGAAAACTTGCATGTCTATGATAAAAATTGTTTCTTTTTCAGATATGTTCATTATTTTGCGGGTCTTCTTTCCGGTGCAATACAAATCAATAGCAGTGCTCTTTACCTTCATCACATACTTATCCATGGTGTGCCCAATTTCGACACGCGTGGTGGCTGTCGGCCATTCATTAAAGTCTACCAGGGAATGCATCCCATCTTCACATCCGGTGTATAGTAAGTTGTTTTTTTCTGGTTGTGTCGCCTCTATGGAGTTGAATGATTTTTTTGTTGAGTTATGACTATCATGAGGCGACATATGTCATCACTGAGAGCCCTTGTTTTATACAAGATTCAAAAAAACTTTTTGGTTATAAGGTCATTACATGGTGGTTGATGCATCTGTCCGGCTTTCCTTAGTAAGTAACCAATAATTACCAGTTTTTCCGCATGTGACACACTACTAATTCCACATGTTATCTGTATTGAGAGACAAATGACCATTAGATTCAATGTTCGAGATGAAGCGTCACAAAAAAATGTTTCCATGCCCAACGATCGAACCAGCCACCCCAGTATTACAAATCCAATGCTGTCCGTATCAAACTAAGCTGATGAATGTTTAATTAGTACTTAACTATTATAATGTTGCATAATTTTAGCATCAATTTTAACAGACAATCATGATTAATTTATTTATTTTGATTTATTATCTATAAGCAAGGCTGATGCAAATAAAGAATTTATTTTCATTTTATCAGAAAACTGTGTCATAAATTTGCTCCAAAGACTATTTGACTGGTTATATGGCAATATATAAAGCTATATTTACAATATAAGTGTCACCTAGTTATATAAGCACACAATGTATGCCTTTGGGTTTATATATCTTAAGTTAATTTCTTTCAATTAAAAAAAAGGTTTTCTAGAATGAAGATGCATTACGTTTTTGCAGATAATGTGTTTTCCCATACCAAGAAGTGATTAAGTAACTCTTTGTAGCTTCTCTACATTGAAGAGCTACTACTTTACATGTCTTCTTGATTAAAGAGCTGTTGTTTTTTTACAAATTACCAATTTTCAGCATGTTAAATGGCATCAATCTTCATTTCATTGTGTAAAAGTTTTTTTTTTTTGTTTTTTGTTTTTTTTTGTTGTTGATAATTTGTTCTTGTCTGTCTCAAAATTGTACAATTTGTATATATTTCACTGTATATAATGTAATGTATGTATTTAATTTAATGTAAAACAAACTGTATGTGATAGTTTTGTGTAATGTAAGAGGGTTGTATATAATTATAAAGTTGTCTTGCTACCTGTCAGAAAGCAGGTATTTGCCTTGATTTAGTATTGGGCCTTTAATGTAGATTTAAATCAACTGATAAGTAAATAGATTACGAATGAAATGTAAACAGTTGGTATTTATATTTCTGCTGTTTGAAGTGCCTACTTTAAATGAAGGAATTTACTTGCCAATAATTCTTAACAGCTGCACATAGCAAACAAGATATGTGCAACTTTCAAAGTATTCAGACTCTATGCTATTTTGCTTTACAAACTAGACTTTGCAAAAAATAGGTTTTTGTGATATTGCATATTTTACAAAAATTGACAAGTAATGGAAACAAATTTTTTCTTTGTAAATTGGCATATTCAAACCCTGGTAACTTCATCATTGTATAAACTTTGAAGAGAAAATACATGTATCATATGCCAAGGTATAAACTTGTTAATTATGAAGAACATGGGAGGTAAGGTTATTGCCCTTGGAAATAACACAAGTTTGCTGTAGGGAAATTTCCAAGGTCTCAAATTTTTGGAAATTTGTCAGAATATTCTTTTTTCTTTTGCTCAAAATATAACCTTCACAATAATTAAATATGTTCAGATGAAGATACTGCACTTCTCAGTGGCTCAAAGCTAGTTTTGATTTCTTTGCAAATTTTAATCAAATGGTAAAGACTGTATTAATAATCAGATATAATCTATTCATAGAATCTATCTGTGCTTTTTTAAGTAATATAGGTTTGAGCATCTAAATTATGATCAGGAATTAAGCTATAGAAAGAGCATCAAAACACATGGCTATTTGATTGCAAATATAAAAATGTTCCCTGTTGTCACAATATGAAACCCCAGAAAAAGTAACCAATATATGAGCAACCCAATAAGACTTTTCTACTGTTTCCCTTTCCCTGTCAAAAGTAAACCCCAGAAAAAAAATGAGCCAATCAGTGTGCATCCCCATCAGACAGTGCAGTAACTATGAAATAGTGCTGTAGATTATAGATTAGTGCTGTAAATAATGAATTAGTGTTATAAATTGTGAAATAGTGCTGTAAATTATAGATAAGTGCTGTAAATAATGAAATAGTGCAATAAATTATAGATTAGTGCTATAAATTAAGATGCAGTGCTATTAAATAGCGTTATAAATTATAAAATTTACCTGTTTCAGCAATGTGACAGATAATATGCAGAAGGTGTGTATATCTATATCACCTGGAATTCCACTTAGAGGGGACATTCTCATCAAATGTTACCATAAAAAGAACAACGCTGGACAGCGTGAAATGATCTGGGGATGTCAGTTTCACACGTGTGCTATATCCCACAATTCCCTGGTATTCAGCAAAAATGAACTTGACTTTGGCATAAATGGTAAATATATATACAAGATCTGGGAGTTATTTTTAAGTTTTTTGCTCTCTTGAAGATATAACAAAATATCTTTGCCATTTCTTAGTGAGATATATAGCATTGTAATAAAATAGTTACAACAAACAATCTTATGTTGTTTTCAAACTTGTTTGGCATTAAAACTAGCCAATGTTTTCTTAAGTTGTTTGGCATTTTAACTAGCCAAACAGTATCAAAGAAATGTCATTAAGTTTCAAGTAGTGTGATATGACTGGACATATTTCAATGTATCCTCAAAGATTTTTTCCATCGAAAAGGGGTTTGAATGTCACCAAAGTTTCTGTAAAGCTTTAAGTCAAAACAGACACATGTCTAGCCAGCTTTACCTTATTTTAAAAGATTAAATAGGAGTTAATAGAACTATGTCCTGGAGCCATGATTTCCTGATATTTATCCCAGATTGTTGAATTAATTTTTGATTGATCCAGGACATGTTCTTTTATTGGCAAATCTGTATTACCTGGGAACTGAAAAAAAAAATAATGAAAAATTGATGTTGGCAGGAAATTGAAATGTGTTGCAAATGCGAAAAAAAGAAAATGATTTACTATCTCTGTACATAATGATTCACACTTAGGAACAATCCCTGATAAAAGATAATCCAAAACATAAATCAACAAAACAAGCATGTAAGATTAAAATTGTCATAAATGTGGCCATAAAATTGTCATATTTAGATGTTTTGATGGTATGATTTCAGATCCAAGGTTTCCTGATTCCGGTAAAGTTGAGTTTGTTTTTGGAAACAACTCGGAAGGCTTGGTTCAAGGTAAACACACTGTCTATTTTTAGCCAGGGTTTCCCTCGGGATTGATTAGTTTGTTTAATATCATTTGCATTATATAGTTCTTTCAATGCTTGACTGAGATAGTGCTTCTTATAATTGCCTGTACATTTCATAGGATGTCAAGTAAAGCATTTTTGCTTTTTCATAAATTTTTTTATCAAGAAAGAGACTTGTGGTGTAGAGGTTAAAGCCATTGGTCTCTTACCCAGGGATCATGGGTGCGAGCCCAACTTATACATGTATGTCACCAGTGCTGGTTAGATCCAGCACATGAACTTTAGAGTGATTCAAGCTTTAATCACAATACTAAAATAGATACTGTATATTACATTTCATGTGAGGAAGCTATCCAGCTAGCTTATTGAACATTGGTGGTTCTAAGCATGTGCCTATTTGTGCCTGAAATAATTCACAGAAGGGCATCTGAGGTCTTCCTCTACCAGTAAAGCTTGAATGTCTGCATATGACCTAAACTGTGTCAGTGTGATGTAAAAACCAATCAAACAAAGTATATTACATTTAGAATAAGAAAATGATTTGATTAAAATTTAAAAAATGTTATAGTTCTATATACAAAGCTGTCGTCTTTATGTCTGACATGATAGTACATTATAATAATGTATATATATTATAATGTATCTATAATCACAGTGGCAGATTTCAAGTCAGATGTTACGGTGCCCGTTGACGACTCCACGGAAGCGCTAACAAGATGGGACTCCTATGAGAACTTTGGCAAGCCAGGCGACGGCAAAGAAACTGGTAAGTCTTTACTGTAACTATATGATCTGTATATGATTATTATAATAGATCATGATCTTATTAAGATCTTGCAACATGGTCTTATCTTTTTGTTGCTTTAATAACACTTGATTGTCACAAATGTTTTGGCAGTTCTGATCAGCTGATTTGACTACTATGCCCTCTGTCTAGAAAGCCTATTTATGATTGCACACATTTATGCATCATATATATAATTATGAGACCCAGGCCCCCAAGATATGTTTGAGCCCAGGGGATAGCTGACCTTATACCATTTGACAGACCTCACAGGGCAAGGTCTTTACTGTGTATTTGGCAATTGTAATCATAATATCAAAGTCTCTGCTATTCCATGTGTGGACCCCATAGTTACAGTTGACTTTTTCTCACTCTAATTACTGTCTTGAATTATGATGCAAAACATGTACAGAGGGTCAATGATTGGTTCAGTTCTTACGTCCCTAACCAGTTTAGCATAAGGAATAATTCTGAATCAATTTTTTTTACACTAATAGGCCACTTCAGAAAACAATGTGTAACTTGAAATAACAGGCTTTACTTATACCTGGAAAATGTAGCTAAAATGGTGATTCATGTTTTATTTTATGATATAATTTCTATATAAAACAGAACAGTTCTGTATCTGATTGATTTATGTAATTTCATACCCTGATCTGGCATAGATCATGCAAAATATCAGACGTTGATTTCAACATTTATTGGGAGTTTCCGTTTGCATACGTTTGAAAAGATAAATTTCATCTCATGTAAAATATAAAAAATATGGGAAAGGTAGTTTTCTTATTAACAAAACTTCAACAAAAATGTCAAGAAGATACTCATTTTCAACTTGTAGCCCTTGAAGTTGTGAAACTTTGTTCTGAATTTTGTCTCGAATCTCTGGCTTTTCATTGGTCAGCTTACATTATGTGCCAGTTTCTGACAAATCAAATACATGAGATCTGAAAATTTCTTAACAACTTTACACTCTTATGGTAGTTCTTTTTATTTAAATCCTTTATTTAAATTTTAAATGTTACCTGTATAAAAGTCAGTGAAGAATGGTTGTGTTTATTGGTTGTGTATTTTAAAGTATTTCAGGGAAAGTTGTGTAATTTGTTTACACATTTTGTCAAAGTATCTATATACAGTTGACATTGTATTAAGAGACCACTCAAGGGACTGCCAAAAAGTGGTCTCTTAATAAAGTGGTCTCTCAATAGAATTCTGGAAAATTCGAGACTTTTTATTACAAGTCATAGATATAATAACATCTATTTTTATAAAAACAAAAACTATACAATATTATGTATGTATTACCGTTTTATAATTACATTTATGCCTTTTTTTAAAAAAAAAAAGTCATCAATATTGTTTGTTTTTGATTTTTAGTAGAAATTTGTGTACAAATGTGTTTTACGCTCATAATACTGTAAACAGGTCATTTTGACCATGATACAAAGCATATTGTCTTATATTTTTAATATGTTCATACACATCTCCTGCTGAACATACTTTAGAATCATCAGCCAGAGCTCCAGATAATTATGTATGCAATGAGTTTTAATAAACTTCTTGATTTTTTCAACAATTAGTTTTCACACTACCCCGGTTTCAAATTCAATAAGATTTTTAGAGATCTAGGATTTTTTTGCCTTTTTTTGTCGAAGGGCCATATTTAATGGGATACTACATGTATTTTGTAAAGCATCAGATGAGCACCTACACCATCAGCAATGAAAGGCTCGGCTCTGTAATGTTTAGTCTACTAGGTTTCACGATTTTATTTCGACTACAATCGATGACATTTGCTATTTACTCAGACTCAATTCCATGCACGATTTCCTCATACAATTTATCCGGTCTTATTAGTTGTCTGTCTTTTTCTCGCTCGATCCGACATCATTTTCGATAAGGGAGGTCACTCTCAGCACATGACAAAACTATGCAAACGCGGTGTTGTGATACGTTATTGCTCTGACAAAATATGTCACAATAAATATTACGATCGGAAAATCCGATTTTGAAACGATTGCAATTGTTATTCATTTCGTTTTTAAACGACAATTATTTGTGACCAATGACCATGAAAATTATTTGTTTGTTTGCTTGTACACATCTAACCTACTCGCTAATTACACAGGTGAGAATGCCCGCAGGGACGATTGTTTGTCACGGCCGTTTAATAGATACTTTAACACTTATTTTTGTACATTTGGGCCGACATTCAGTGGCCGCTGGCCGCGATATAAAATAGTCGTTTAATGGAATTAAATTAAATAGTAAAAATCATCGGGAGGGATTTTATGCGGCCGCTTAATAAAAAAGTCGCTTAATAAAGGTGGCCGCAAGTACGATGCCGACTGTATACCACATATTATTTTACTTATTCTGCAAATACATGTACTTCAATAACTTGCATATAACCAGATAAAGGCCATGTTAAGTTTGTTTACACATATGTTAAAGCATAAGTATGGCATGTTTTTCACATTATTCAATTTTTGGCATATATATAACCTTAGAGAGGTCACAAGAGAAAGGTCATGTAATTTGTTTACAGATTTCTACACCTGTTTGTTCTTTACCATCCACTTTCCCATTACCTTTTCCCCCATGTTTCACTAAATTACATTTTATCTAGGTATTTTTTTCTTACTTGCCAGATAAAGATTAGGTTTTAATTGAGTGAAACCCAATGATTGTGTTTTAATTGGCTGAAATTTTATCTCTTGGCACCTGTTCACTCTTGATGCTGGATGTTACAAAGTGTCAAAGGTTATCCAAGTCTATGTCATATGACAGAAGTTGTTACATTATTCAATTATAATATTTGGAAAAATCTATTTTTTTTTGGTTATCAAAATTTTTATAAATTAGAATTAGGAAATAGATATCAGTTGAAGAATAATGCACAGTTCGAGTGCAAATGTATAGGAATATAATTAGGAAAGGTTAATTATTACAAAGTACAAAGACATATATGGTCATATATAAATGTTTGCCATATAAACTTCTCCTAGTGATTCAAGGGTTATATAATTACACTATTTACTGGGCTATTAATTATACTCTGTAAAAAAATCTTATCTTTAGGAATATAATAAGATTAATAATTACATTGTATCAAATTGATGCCTATTAAAATCTAATGTGATCTACGTATGTTTAAAGTTTAAAGCATACTAATTGTAGTACTACTACTGATTTAATTGATAAAACAAAAGGTAGATAAAAGACAAACAACATTACAACCAGCATGTTCATCTCACAGTAAGTTATGAGGGTGTGTTTTTTTCCTGGAAATTTACTACAAACCACAAAGTACAAAATAAATTCTTCAAAGAAATTACATTATCAAGATAAGTCACTCCTTGAATATCTCTATGTAAGACCTATTTTTAGATATTCCCCATCTTCAATGAGATAAGAAGCTATAACACTGTTAATTCTCCAAATATCTTCAGAAGTGTTTGATATTTTTTTTCATTCAATTTTAGAATAATTGTGCTGAAAAAGGGATGAAAATTTGAAGATTATAATATACATCAGGCAAAAACAAAAAATATTTCTAAGGACTTTGCCTCGGATTTTGAGAGACGGCAATAATAATTATGTTTCGGTATAAATTAGTAACTACTCCCACAATGATTGTACCATAGACTACTCATGCTAAGTAATTTTATGTTTTACAGAAATCTATGAAATATTTAGTCATAAAATGGTGAGTCCTTTACTAACTAAATGAACTAAATTTGCATTAGGGACTTCCTTCTTGGGTTTGAAAACTTTCCATTGTTGACTATTTGAGTACAAAAATTTTCATTGTTGACTATTTGTGTACAAAACTTTCCATTGTTGACTATTAAAGTACAAACACTGAGCAGTACTTTAAACTTTAAGTAAGTCCTTTAACCCATAACCTGCTGTGTAATTTGTGTACTATATTTGCCATGCTATAGATCCAAAAGCTTAAGAGATTTCAATAACAATATACATAAGAAAAGTATGGCTGGTCAGACTGCACATAGTTAATGTGCATGCAAGACTGGCTCTGTGTTGGTGGCAAAGACTCAGACTGCACATAGTTAATGTGCATGCAAGACTGGCTCTGTGTTGGTGGCAAAGACTCAGACTGCACATAGTTAATGTGCATGCAAGACTGGCTCTGTGTTGGTGGCAAAGACTCAGACTGCACATAGTTAATGTGCATGCAAGACTGGCTCTGTGTTGGTGGCAAAGACTCAGACTGCACATAGTTAATGTGCATGCAAGACTGGCTCTGTGTTGGTGGCAAAGACTCAGACTGCACATAGTTAATGTGCATGCAAGACTGGCTCTGTGTTGGTGGCAAAGACTCAGACTGCACATAGTTAATGTGCATGCAAGACTGGCTCTGTGTTGGTGGCAAAGACTCAGACTGCACATAGTTAATGTGCATGCAAGACTGGCTCTGTGTTGGTGGCAAAGACTCAGACTGCACATAGTTAATGTGCATGCAAGACTGGCTCTGTGTTGGTGGCAAAGACTAATCACTTACAGTTCCAGCAGTTTAAAGACTATGTTCATGTTGCCGAGCTTAGTAAATAGCTCAATCTTCCTATAGCTACATGGCAGAATTGATAAGAATGTATTTTAATGGTGTAATTATATGAAAATTACTACTATCTTAATTTCAACCAGTCTTCCAAAACACTTATACTAATTAATGAAACATTAACTGAATTACAATATTGCTCTTGTTGCTTTAAGCTAAGAAAATCACTCACACATACTTTCAAAATAACTTTAGATGAACACATGTTTGCCAAAAATAAGTAGAGGTATATTGATGACACACATTCCATGTTTTAAACTATATACAGTTTGTGTCTGTTTATTGAAGTACTAATTTTGCAAACCTATGGGGAAGATAAGAATTTTTGCTCCCTCTGTTTCCGACAGCGACAGGTGCACATGCAATTCATAAAAAATATATCGTCTAATGTAAAGAGTGTCTG